ACTATGTATCACGCATCTTCTGGCCTCTGCAACACCGTGTATCAAGATATGGCCCAGCATGGTACAGTCACTTCTGCTGCTGTGGATCAAGATGTAGACTCCCAGCTCCTTCTGTCTTGTCATGATGATAATGAACTAAACCTCTGCACTATAAGCTAGCCAACTAAGTGTTTTCCTTTATAAGAGTTGCCATGGTAATGGTGTATCTTTACAGCAACAGAAACCCTAACTAAGACAGATTGTACATGTTACTCATTTTACCCTTATTTTATTTCGTTAAGGGAAGAATTCATACAGCATTCAAAATATCATGCTGATAGCATATCAAAAAAAGCCAGCAATAGAGAAAGGCATCACAGGGCTGGTGAAGGGGCTTAGTCATTAACACTTCTTCCACACAAGTATGAGGACTGGAGTTCAGATTCTCAGACCCCACATAAATGCCAAATGCTGGTGCATGGTGGACAGCCTGTAACTCCAGACTGGGGAGGCAGAGACAGGAGCTCACTAGAGCAAGCTACTTAGTGAGACTAGCCACACCAGCAAGTTCTCAGTTTGATGAGAGATCCTGCTCAAAGAACATATTAGAAAGTCATCAAAGGTAATTCCCAACATAACCTCAGGCCTCCACATGCATGTGAAAACCTGTGCCCCAAACATGCAAATATGTATACATAGAGAACCCACTGTCCGTGCCCCCCAACTCTAACACACACACAAGAAAATGGAATGAGCTTTTCAAATGGGCCAATAAAATTTTAACTTTATCTGTAATTTTTAGTCAAACTGATAATTATTTGATGGTTTGAAAAGTTCTTTGATTTTTTTTTTTAGGCAAGTGACTCTCATCTCTAAGTTTTATTGTCTCAGTTTAGAAAATAAAGTTATTTTGAGAACAATTTTTTCTTTTACTTTTTGAGATAGTGTTTATCTGAAGCACAGGCTGGGCTGAAAATCATCATGTAGCCCAGGATGGCCTCAAATTTATAGTATTCATACTTCCCTAGCCTCCTTAGTCCTGGGGTTACAGATGTGAGCACACCTGCTGACAAAAGGATCTGAGTATATAAAAAGTTTGTCACTTGACACAAACGCTCCTGAAAAAGTCTAGTAACTGTAAATTAATTACTATGGCTATTTTTTCAGTAGGTATCAAACAGCAGAAACAATGCTGGTCAAGTTCTAGTACACAGCACAAAACTGAGACGCGTAAGCTTTGAATACCAGCTTTACCACCTTCTATGACCTCAGAGATCAACTGCCTTTCCAGTCTACGTCATTTCTTCCTATAGGGAAGGACAGAGGTAGGAAGATGAAATCACATGCTCGTGGTAGACTGAGCACCCTAGCGTTGTCATCCTCACCCCCATTCTGAATCTCCGCCTGAATCAGCTCCTGCTTTAGCTCTTCTATTTCTTTCTTCAGTTTAGCATTTTCAACTCGAAGTTTCTTTTCTTCTCTCAAAGTTGCCTGCAAAACTAGAATCAAGAAAATTCACTTAAAAACTATTTTCAAATGTTTTACTTGAATATTATTTGGAAAGAGTAAATACAATTGTAGCTGTTATAACAACAGGAACTAGTATCTGGCCAGTTGCTTTATGACAGTTTACTATTTTAATATCAACAATATCTCACTAGTCACTGGGACATTGGGTTTAAGACTCCCACCAAAACAAATCCGAGGACATAAATGCTGTAAATAGTGATTTGTAGATTAAAAAACAAGGAAATGGACTGTGGGCACATAGTAGGGCATTTTCTTAACTGATGATTAACACGGGAGAGCCTGCCTGGGGTGGTGCCTTCCCTGGGGAGGTGGTCCTGGTTGTATAAGAAAGCAATTTAAGCAAGTCATAGAAAGCAAGTTAGTAAACAGTGCTCCTCCATGGCCTTTTCTTTGGTTCCTGCCTTGACTTTCCTTCATGACAGACTCTAAGCTGCAAGTTGAAATAAACTCTTTCCTCTTCAACACACTTTTGGTGCTTTATCATAACAGAAAGCAAACTAGGTCTTTTAGTATATACCAATTCTAATTTATCATAATCCTAGAACACTTTTAATATTTTTATACTCAAAGGAATCTAAAAGCCATAATTAAAATTATCAAGTTATAATTTACATAGTAAACATTTAACTGTCATTATTAGAATTTAGATATTTCCTTAGACTATTAAAATGGTCTTACCCGCCTTCTCCTTGAGAAGGGCAACCTGCTGCTTGAGATATTCAATGATCTGGTCTGCCTCTGCACCCTTCTGCTCGAGCCTCTTCAGAATAGCATCACTGGTTGCCATCTTTGTCCAGAATCGGCAGAAAATCCTAAATGAAAAATAAAAGTCATAAATATACTCTGGAAGGAAAGAATATACTTATTTTATAGGAATTGCCATAGGACTGAGGAAACTCAAAAGATCTGAACTTACTGAGCAAACTACTGGAGAAAGGAAACTAGGCAGAATCAAACAGAATAGACTGTGGTCTGAACTTGTGAAGGAGCAAGCGGTGCTCTCCCTGGGCAGGTGGTCTGAGTTATGTAAGAAAGCCAGTTCAGTGAAGAGCAGGAGAGCTAGCCTGAAGCACTATCCCTCCACGCATCTACTTCAGGTTCCTGCCTGGAGTTTCTGTTGACTTCACTGTGACCTGAAAGGGTTAGGAAAATAAAACTGTTCCTTGCCCAAGTTGCTTTTGGTCTGTTTTGTCATAGCAACAGATATCTAGGTTTTTGTTAGTGTTTTCTAGCAATGTGCAGCACTGAGGAAAAAATACAATGCTTACACAAGGTGGCTCCAGTCAACCTTAAGTGAAAAACACACTTAACAGGCCATGTGACTGTGTGACCAACTTCTCCATGTTTCACTTTGTTAGTTTATATTAGGATCCTCTCACCTGCTTTCTTGCTCTCCACGGGGCCTTTTCTTCACCTGTTGCCTGAACACTGTTGTTCAGAGTTTGGAATAGATATCTTCTGGGGATCACAAATCATCACCAGGCAGTTTATGGTTACCCCTGTCACCCAGGGTTAATATGAGGGAACAGGATGGACGAAATGGGGGAAGGACAGAGACGAAGAATAAGAGATATTTTGATTGAGGGAGTCATTATAGAGCTAGCAAGAAGCCTGGCACTAGAGAAGTTCCTAGGAATCCACGAGGACGACCCCAGCTAAGAACTTATAGTGGACACGGTGCCTGCATTGGCTTTGTCCTGTAGTTAGATTGACGACTACCTTAAATGCCACCACAGAACCTTTATCCAGCAACTGATCGAAACAGAGACAGAGATCCACAGCAAAGCACTGGGCTGAGTTCTAAAAGTCCAGTAGACGAGTGGGAGGAGTGAGAATATGAGCAAAGGGGTCAAGACCATGAAGGGGCTACTCACTGAAACAGTTTACCTGAACTAATGGGTTTCCCAAAGTCTACTTAATGAAAATAAACTGCAATTCATAGTTTCCTTGTGCGTGTTCATTGAGTACCCCAAGAATATGACTGGACATATTGAAGTGTCTATTAGGTTTCCTTTGAGGAAAAACAAAAGGCTCCTGACTTCCTTTCTCACTTCTGTCCTCAGTCTACCGAGTAACCCTCTTCAAAAGAAGTTGGATAACATTACTGGGCTACTGAAATCCTTACAGTGGCGTTCACTCACACTCACCCCCATGATCAGCCTGATCACTCGCATACTGTCTCCATCTTTAATTCCTTCTCTCAATTCTGAGCCCTCAGGCTTCCCTGATATTTTGCTAAGCTTTTGTTTCATGGTCTTTGGCATGACTGGGCCTTCTGACTGACAGTACCTGCTGACAGACAGGTTACCTGTGCAGTTAAGTACACTTATGTCACATCCTTCCTAGAAAGCCATCTTTTCCTTGAGAACCTTCTCCTTTGGCCACATTACAGTGCCAAATAATATATACCTTTCTTTACTGTTAATACTCTTAGTGATCGGAATTTATAATCTAAAATATGGTATGGGGGTTGGAAAGAGAGCTCAGCAGTTAAAAACGATTACTGCTGTTGCATGGAACCCAGGTTTGGTTCCTAGCACTCACATCGGAGGCTCACAAGCACTGGCTGGTCCCTGGGGATCTGATGCTTTTTAGCCTTCATGGTCACTTGCATACAAGTTTTGCACAGAAACTCAATCGGGCGTGTACGCATACCCATAAATAAATCAATATTAACATCGTACTTTTAGGGCTGTACTTCAACAATAAAACGTACACCGAGAAAAATTACTGGGAATTTTGTCCGTTTTGTTGGTTTTTCTTTCTGCTTTGCTTACGAATCTTTACCTAGTAACTAAAACGGTGGCCCGAGTATAGTGATAGCTGGCGTTTCTACCATCTGCTGATTCAATACCTTTCTCTCTTGAATCCCTCTCCATGTACAAACACTGGAAATCCTTTACACACTCACTTAAAGTAAACAAGCTTTACTTTATGAATCCACCCCCTGCATGCTTTCCCTCGGCCAAGTATTAATTTCCAAAACTTAGGTGAATCAAAAAGGGCCAAGTTTTTCCTGTTTCCTCGTGGCACGGGGGTGGGGGTGTGACCACGCTTCCTACAAGGACTTGGATGGCCAGCTTCTCTTTTCCTGGGGAGAAAGGGAAGAAGAACTTTGGATCGCTTCCAATCGACCCTAGACCCTCTCCTGACACTCACATGAAGCGACGAACCGCAGCTCTGGAGCAGCCTCAGCCGGGTGCAGGAAAGGCCAGCCTCCCGCAGCCCGTGGCCGGGGGAAGAGGACCTAAGGGCTGTCCCTGACACATGCCTGAGAGTTTCCCAGATTCACCCCACACCAGCCGTCCGCTCCCTGCACTCGCTCTCTTCTCGTGCCACACCACGGTCTCATTTCCCCTTTCCTCCTCCCTCCCTTCCTCCAATCCTTCCTCTTCTTTCCCTCTGGCTGCACTTTGCTGTCTGTTTGGGCGAGGGACAGGCGGCCGGAAGTTAGGGGTCTTCCCTCGGAGTTGCGTCGCCGGACCGTGACGTCACGAGCAGTGGCCGACCTGAGGCAGCCCAGGCGGAGGGGATGCTGGGAGCTGTCAGTGGAGCGGGGCGCGCGCTCCCAGCCGAGTTCTGAGCTGGGCACCCGGGCAGCCCTCGCGGGCGAAGGCTGGTGGCCCCCCCTGTCACCTTCCCTAAGCCGCCTCTTGTAGACGCGCCTGCAATGCAGAACACGGCCCACTAAGTAGCAGCGCCAGGCACAGCGCTTAGGAGCTCATCCCCTCCCTAATCTCTGCGCCCCCAAATTCAGGCAGGTATTCTGGTGTCCGAGCGTTCGTTCTGTGTGGTAGTGGGTGGGGCTTGTGGGATACAGAGGACAATCAGGTTCAGAGAGGGACCCCGCTTGTCTGCAGCCAGCAGTAGAACCAACCTGCGGAACTACTTGCTGCTGCTGCCTTTGTCTCCAGACTTCTTCCCCTCGAAGCTGGAGCTCACCGAGCTTCGAAATGCAAATACGGTTTTACTCTAGATAAATCAACGTGCCCCCCTCCCCTCCACCACTAATTTTTGACATTTCCCCTTCATTTGAGTCATTCATCTCCAAGACCTTTCTGAGTTTATATTGTGTCTTGTTCATTGAAAAAGTGTGTCTTGTCTGAGGTCCTTAATAGTCAAGCAGCTGAAGAAAAAAAAAATCGGACATAAGGTTTCAGAAGATTCCCTGCGTAAATTTTACTAGCCAGCTGCTTCCACGGCTTTTGTCTTGTAATCTTCCGCCTCTTCATTTTAGTTTTTTCATTTTCTTCTAGTCACCTAGTGTGAGCACACACATGTATATCTGTTTTCTGTTTGTGAGTTTTGTGTGCACCTGAGAAGTAATGGAGGAATAACTAAATGTCTTCATGATTGCTAGTGGTTTGTCTTTATTCAGTTGTATGTGGTTCAGATCTAAATTGAAACCCCAGTATTTTGTTGTAAAATTGAATATTAAAATGCCGCAGCTAAATCTCATCTTTCCAATAACTTCAATCCTGATATTTAGATATTATTTGGGATCTATTTATTGAATAAGAAATTAAAATTCTGGGCAGTGGTGGTTCACACTTGTAATCCCAGCACGCCAGAGTCAGAGTTAGGCAATCTCTTTGAATTTAAGGCCAGCCTGGTCTACAGAGTGAGTTCTACAACAGCCAAGGCTGCACAGCGAAACCCTGTCTCAAAAATAAAACCTGAAAAAAAAAAGAAGAAATTAAAATTCTAGTCATTGCCCTTTGAAGGAGGAGAAATCTAGGGAAAAGAAGAGGAGGAGCAAGAAAAGGAGAAAGAGAGGAGGAGAACTCCCCGGGCCAGCCACCCAGCCACACACCCCTCCATGGAGTAAGAAGGGAAGAAAAACATGTAGAATTAAAATAGGTAAAAAAAAAAAAAAAAAAAAAACCTGGAAGCAAAATAGAGAAGGAGGAAAACAGGTTAAGTTAGAAAAGCTGGCTAAAAACAAGCCAAACTAAGACTGGGCATTCATAAGTAAGAATAAGTCTCTGTGTTTTTATTTGGGAGCTGGGTGATGGGACTCACAAAGAATTATAAAAATCCAACTACACATGGGTCTCAAGTTGGATCAGTCATTGGAAGGTCACTGCCACAAGATCTGTGCCTCTTTTACCCCAGCACATCTTGTAGGTTGAAGGTTTTGTGGCAGGATTGGTGTCCCAATCTCTCCACTGAAAGCTGTGCCTGGCTACAGGAGATGGCTGGTTCAGGCTCCAGGTCCCCCATTACTAACAGTCTTCACTAGGGTCACCCTCGTGGATTCCGGGAGTTTCCATTACACTAAGTTTCTACCTTGCCACTAAAATACTCCCCAAATCCAATTACTTCTCCCAGTATTGAAAATCTTCGAAGTTCATTTTGAACTGCAGTATAAACCTAGGCTCGGGTGATTTCTTTGCTTTTATATATTGTCTTGAAATTTTTAAACTTTGGCTTTTTTATAGTTTAGTTTCATGATATTTTTTCCAAGTTGTATATTAGTTTTCAAGTGAGAAAATACTGGATTAATATTGGGTCAGTCTATCTTAAAAAAAAAATTGTCTCCTTTTCTAGATCATCTTAGAGGACCCAGAACTCCAGAAATGTTTCCTTTGAAGGATGCAGACATGGGCGCCTTTACGTTCTTTGCCTCAGCTCTTCCCCATGATGTTTGTGGAAGCAACGGACTTCCTCTCACACCAAATTCCATCAAAATTTTGGGTCGCTTTCAAATCCTTAAGACCATCACCCATCCCAGACTGTGCCAGTATGTGGATATTTCTAGGGGGAAGCATGGTAGGTAAGCTTTGTGTTTGGTTTGTTTTTTGATTTTTTTTTTTTGGATTTTCTTTTGTATTTTATGTTCACTGATTCAAATCATGATGCAGTTTTAAATACAGAATATGTATTGACATGCAGTCATGAACTTACTTTTATGGTTCAAAGTAAATGTGGCTACCTTTTAAAATGAAAATGGAGTTTTTATTTTCTTGTTGTTGCAGTTGATTTTTTTTAATAGGACAAAAGTAGTTGGTTGAGACTCATGTTCTGGGACAGCAGTGTGTGTCACTGCTGTGATCCTATAGTGAGGTTCCTCCATAGCTGAAGTTGCTGAGGATGACAATTTTAAGTGGTAGTGTGGCCATTTGTCATTGGCATTGATTACTTAGAAATGCCTTTGGTTGCTAGTGAGATGAAATGAAGGAAAATTATTTTACTACATAGGTTTGAAATTTAAGTTGGAATAAATAACATTATTAAGGCCATACTATAGTTTATTCTCTACCTATAGACTATAAATTTCAACCTAAATGTGTGAATTGGTCAGGATTATCTCACAGGAAAGAACTTAGGGCCGGTAGGATTTGCTGAAGGAGGCAGAGGCAGGAGGATCACGAGTTCGAGGCCAGCCTGGGCTACACATTTAGCAGCACTTGGGAGGCAGAGGCAGGCGGATCTCTGTGAGTTCGAGACCAGCCTGGTCTACAAGAGCTAGTTCCAGGACAGGCTCCAAAGCTACAGAGAAACTCTGTCTCAAAAAAAAAAAAAAAAAAGACAGGAAAGAACTTAGGGTTTGTATGTATGAAAAGATTCTGTTCTAGGAACTAGAATGCGAGATTCTTGCTAGTCCAGCCCAAAACACAGGGCATGTCAACAAGGAGGCACTGAAGTTCAGCAAGAGCTAAGACTGCAGGTTTTTCAGGGACTCTTCAGTATGTCTCAAGGTCATTCAACTTGTGAAATAGTTTTATTATTTAGGATATTTAGATAAGCTTTCATAAGGATCCTGGTTAAAAAATTCATATAATTTCTTCGTAGGTTTATCTCGACTAGAATTTGCTTGAATACCTGACGATGATAGTTGACTTTTAAAGCTGTTTGTTGCAGCATCCTGGTACCAACAGTATTTGTGAATCAGTTTTTCTTTGTTGGCATTACTGTTAAACATTTACTTAAATATCACATTTTTTTACTTTGAATAGCAGAAATGATGCAAGAACTATATGTTGACAACACCATATTACAAGGCATTCTAAGTCATTTTTATATCAAAAATTCAATGCTTTCTGTTTTGAATTGTTTATTTTTATGTGACTATATATATGTGTGTATGATTTACATGTATGGGTAGAGATGCACACTTGTCAGGGCACATGTACTGGGACATGCATATGGAAGGGTGGGCAGTCAGATGACAATGTTGTGGGGTTGTTTATCTCTTTCCACAGTTACATGGGTTCTAGAGATCAAACTCAATTCATCAAGCTTGCATAACGAACATCTCTATTCTCTGAGATCAGCTATCTGTGATCCAGCCATCACTCTGGACCCAACGTCTCTTTTACTGTCTTTTTCTTATTCAACCTCTCTGTTATCTTTCCTGACTAATCTTCAGTTTCTCTTCATTGATTGAAAATACAGTTCTAGATAGACATGCCATGTGAATTTTCACATTTTGTTAGGGGAAAAGATTATTTCATATTTTACAGACATTCTTTATTGTCACATTTGTTTTTATTTTTAATATTTTATTGTTTTTAATTATATGTATGGGGTTATGTGCACGTTAGTGCAGGTGCCTTCAGACCCCCTGGAGCTGGAGTAATGGGCAACTGTGAAATGTTGGATGTGGGTGACTGGAACCTGACTCAGATCCTCTGGAAGAGTGGTGTGCACTCTTAACTGCTGAGCCATTTCTCCAAACTTGTATATTTGTATTTATAAATAATGCCACTGCACCGTTGATTCTTATCTGGCACATTATGGTTCCCAAACCAACAGTTTATTCTGTTCAGCCAGACTGTTTTTATAACGAACAGAAACTATTTTCAAACAAATCTAGAAATTTTTGGAATGAGTACTTCTATTGAGTTCTTGTTTTAAAAGAAAAGAGGTTCATAATGGAAATACTTCTGTATATACACCATCACCTCCGGGAGAAATGCTGATTCATGGCTCTATATTACTAAAACAGTGTTTAAAAATGTGTAAAATCTTAAAGCCATGACGGACACTGAATGTGTTCCCAGGAAACCTGAAAATTTTCAGCCTAATGCCCCATGGTATACAAGTTTCTTACAGATAGAAAAACATATGCATATCTACTTGTAAATGGCTGATTAATTAAATATGTACGTTTTAATAAATTCCAATGTTTGAGGTATTAATTTCAGTATTACTATACTATTATATCTAGTTAGAACATAAGTGTGTACTATTCCACACAGAACAGATCTCTTTAGATAACTGCCATCATTTCTGACATCCCCAGTATGCCTTTGTTCTAATTGATTTGTTTTCTTATGGGGATTCCACAACAAATGACTACTAAGGCACAGTTTATAGTTATTCAAAGTCTCTATTACAGCCTTCTGGAACTATACCCAGGTATTCAGGGACCCAGTTGTAGCCTTGAGAAAACCATACCCATCCTGGCATTCAGTTTGGCAGCTTCAGAGTGGAGGAGAGGGTACAGGTGGTGGGTTCATATAAGCAAGCAATTTGACAGAAGCTAAGATAAGCTGACTGAAGGAAGAGGTTTGCACAAGCAGTTTAATGGAAACGAAGCTAAGTTAGCTGGGACATCCTGACCTTGCATTCCTACAACAGAGTTGGATAATTTCCATGGCATTCTCCATCAGAAAGATCAAATGCTAGTTAAACCTGAAATGGCCTCAGCAAGAATGCAGGATGGAGGAAACTTTGTGCTGTCTTTCTCTGTCATAGTTTAACATACATAGTTTTAGTTCATGTCCATATGTTTCAGGTGAATTGTAGACAATAATATTGCAGTTCCAAACAAGACCAACATGGTTCCCACTATCACTAAATGTTTTATATAAGTAGAGAAGAATGGCATTAAGTAAAACTGAATGCAAAGTTTTAGAGTAAATAAGCAGTATAAAAGAAAAGTACTGTCTAGATTGCATTATAAGACTAGCGAATCAATTCTAGGGAACCAAAGCCTTGAGGAAGTCATGTTTACTGAGGCCTTGTTTACTTGAATAATAGTGAAAGTTATCAGTGCTGGCTCTTTTCCAGGAACTAGTCTCAGTCCTGTTTATATAGGAATAAATTTCACCCTCATCACAATTTGTGATATAGGCATGATTGTTTTCACCTTCTTCTCAGTCCTAATTATATGTGAATTCATTTCACCATTACCACTGTGCTATGATGTGGACATTATTGTTTTCTCCCTCTTTAGAAGAAACTGGCACAGAGAGATTAGTAAATTTCCCAAGGTCATGTGCTAATGAATAGTAAATCAGCTCAGCGTCTGAGTCTCAGAACAATAGTCTGTTTTTCAGCATCATGGAACACGACAGGAGATAACGGTGTAAAATGAAGGAGGGTGGGAAAATGGCTGAGTGGAAAGGGGTGACAACCTGAGTTTGGTCCCTGGAATGCACATAATGGAAGGGGAGAGAACCACTTTCCACAAGTTGTTCTGTGACCTCCAAACACACCTCCGGCATGCCCACAGAGCCACACTTGTACATGAACTGCTTATACACAATACACAAAATATATTCTTTTTTTTAAAGAGGGGTATCAAGATGTCTCAGCAGATAAAGCATTTGCCACCAAACTTGACACCCTAAATTTGACCCTTAGAAGCTATGTGATGAAAGGAGGAGAAACTGATCCCTGCGAGTTGCCCTGACCGCTGTGTGTGCACAGTGGAATGAGCACACTCACATCACTAAATGAATGTAATGCAGAAGTTCTTTCAAAGGTGAAGACATTTCAGACATGGGAACCCAAGTGTAATTCCCCAAAGGATGAGAATGCCCAAAAGCTGATGAGATAAATATTTACTGGACACTAGAGAAGGAATTCTGTGTTCAGATTTGTTGTCCTACCACTTGGGCTTTAGTGTGAAAGCATGCAGGAGGAGGATCTTAATTCAGCTGAAAAGAACCGGTAAGTGATTGCCATGGAGGCCTAAAGAGGTAGTGCTGGCTTAGATCCTGATTTCAGCAGGGGGAATAAACTGCAGGTTCTGGAAGCAACTGGGAGATGCAGGAATCTGTGTGTGGGTTTGGGAGAGGGAAAAATTATAACTTGTTTTGTTCCTCTTGAGCTGCTAGTGACACCTTCAGGTTGTTTTCTTGGACAAGGGTCCTGTATATCCCAGGCTGGCCTCTAACTAGATGTAGCACTAAGGATGGCCCGGTCTCCCTTTCAACCTTTCAGTGCTGGAATTCCAGCCATGTGCCACTACCCTGTTTTATAAAGTGCTGTGGATTCAATCAATGCAGGGCTCTGTGCATTCCAGGAAAGCTCTCTAGCAACGGAGCTGCAAATCAGCTAGACAGTGAATTTTACACTGAAGCCCAAGGTGGGCTCTAAGTGTCTGCAGTTCAAGAGAGTTCCAAGGTTGGAATAAAATGTGGTCATTTTTCAGTAAGTAGTAGATGAGGAGAAGCACAGTAAAATGACTAATGGATAGTCAGTCTTTTTAATAATGGGTAGAAGATGGGTAGACTTCAGTTTGGATAGGTGGAGTGCTGATAGAGGAGGTTGAGAGGAGCAAGCCAGGTAGAAGTAAGGGAGACTGACCACACATCTACACAGTGAAAATCCATAATAATTTTAAATACTGTTATTTGTGTTATATGTTAACTTTAGAGGGCTACATGATCTTTTGTTAAAGTGTATTAATTATAAACTGGATTTGCTTTTCTCAGAACGACTGGTGGTGGTGGCTGAGCACTGTGAGAGGAGTTTGGAAGACCTGCTCCGGGAAAGGAAGCCTGTGAGGTACTGTGGAATGTGTAGCAAATGAGTGAAGAGTGGAAACTGGCAAACAAAGGAGGATTCTACCAAGAAACTGAAGGGCATTGATTTCTTTCGTTCTTGTGTAATGATAAAATTCAATGTAGGTTTTTACTTTAAGAACTTTAATTCACTTGCTGCATAGAAATTCATTGTTTACATTCTAGAAAGTACTTGAAAAATTCCTCAGTGGAGTGTACATATATGAAAAATTTGATATTTTAGTTCTAAGAATTTGTTCCGCTAGCCAAGATTATTTTCCTGAAAGAAGCCATGGTAACCTCTTGGTGTACACCAATAGTCCCTGGTGAACAGTGAGCTTTCTTAGTAAAGGCCAGGTTGAGAAAGAGGCGGAAGTAGTAATCATGACTTTGGTAGAACTTAATGATAGAATTTAGTTCAATCATTTCAGTGACTCAAGAAATTTATGTTTTCTTAGCCAGAGTAGTGTGTTACCTAACTTTCTTATTACAAGTGCACTATTAAAACAATTTTTCACTAATTTACTCAAAATTATTTTTTTAATCATAAAAGATTTAATTGTATAAAGTTATATTAAACTAACAAAACTTGCTTACCATGAGTCCTTATGATATTGCAATTATCTACTTCATCCCCTGAACCTGTGGCTGGAGTTTCCATACAGGACAGCAAGGGATGCAAGGAAAAGCTCCAAACTATCCTGAGGTCAATGCCACTTAGAATTTCAATGAAAGAAGCACCAAACACCAAGATGGTCAACCTAGAACATCTTTTGGGAACCCATTTACAGAGTGTTGCAGCAAGATACAGAGAGGTTCTAGGTGCTCAGTTAGAGGCAACAGCCTGTCACTCACCTAGGCTCTAAGTAGCAGCAGCAGGAAGCACCTGCTCTCACTGGAGTGCTGGCTGGCCTCATATATTAGACTCTGACATCCTTCTCATGGATAGTGTTAAAACTCTTGGGCCTAGGGTATAAGGATTCTTGGTATCTGGCAGAGGCTAGTTGCAGATCTCCAGTGGCTAGTGAGGCTTGGCTACAATCTGAGGATAGTTCTACCCTCTATGGAGTAGCTCTTGTTCGTGGCCCTTCACAGCCTTCTCCCTATTCCATATCTGTCACCTTTGTTCCCGGCTGTCTCTGCCCTCAGCGGCCCTCTAGATCTCTTCAGTCTTCCCAGCTCACCTGACTTGCAACAATTGAAAGTAGGCAAATTAATAAACAAAAACAAACAAAATTGAGATAGGCCTTTTATTGGATTTAATGTTGCAGTTACAGGGGCAAGTGGGAAGTATCTGCTGACTGACCACAGAGGTGAGGCAAGCAGACTGTGGCAGAATGGGATATGATTTGGCAATGGTGTTTGTACAGTCCTTTTTACAAATGAAAAACTGTGCTTCCATCAATTGCCGGCCTTTCATGGGGCCAGGAAAACTGCTCTCCTCTAGACGGGGTGAAAACAGCTGTAGTTCACTGAAACTTGTCTTCTCTAGGCTTCCACTTCCTGTGGCTCATGACTGCCTGAAGTGGTCCTGTCTGGAGCTTGAATTCAGCCATGGTTGTAAAGATCCTTTGCAGCATCCTGCTGAGATGTCCTCAGAATAATTGCAAAATGTCCAAAATAGGGTTGCCATGAGAGCTGTCCCCCCTTTGCATGAATATGAGCTGCTTGGCTGATATTACCCCAAGGCTTCCACCATAAGACAAGAGTGTCACACAGGCTTGTGTCTGTATTTGACTGGTCTAAACATTCACAGAAAGCATTAATACTTAATGAAAACAACATGAAAGTAATAATTCTAATAGCATATAGCAGTACATGATAGCATTTAACAGTACCTAGTAGTGTTTATCTCCTGCCTTAGTCCTCCAGGTGCACTAAGATAGTGCTAACACCAGCTAAAAATATCTGAAATTATTGGGGAACCTATGTCTTCTTCTGTCCTTGGCAACCAACAAGTACACACATGGTGCACATACATACAGGCAAAATACTCAAATACATAAAATAAATAAATAAATCTAAAAAATATTTAAGAAAAACTTAGACAAAAGAAGTTGGTGACTAAAAAGAAAAATTTCCAAATGTATCCTTCCACAAGGATTCTCCTCATTTTTCTTTTCAGTATTTTATAAACATTGAATTGTGCTATATGAGGATGCACTCTGTGATGCTTTGCTATGAGATCATATCTACTATCTCATGAAACGTTCTAGCTTTCCATCCATGTTTTAGACATGATGAATCTCACAAGAGGAACATCAGCAAGTCTGAGTGAAGAAGTCACATTTCTTCAATAAGTCACATTTTTGTCTATATTTAATCAAAGTGTTAGTGACAGAAACACAGAGTAAGATTACAAACAAAATTCTCCTTGATTTTTATATCCTTTACATTTTATAGTGTTTTTTAATTTTTATTTTATAAAGAAGACACTGACTTTTATGGGTTTTTGCAATTTCTTCCTGAGAAATGTGTTTAAATGTCAGTGTAAATAAAGTCTTGTTTTTAATCATTCTGGTAACAAGCTTGTGGTGGTTTCAATATGCATGCCCCCCAGAGACTCATATGTTTGAATACTTGGTCCCACTTGGTGGAACTTTGGGGAAGGATTAGAATCTGTGGCCTTGTTGGAGATGTGTTGCTAGTGCTGCTGGACTTGGAGGCTTTAAAAGTCCACATTTCCCAGTTATCTCTCTCTGCCTCATGGCTGTTGTCTCAGGATGTATACTCTCAGCTATTGCTCCAGTGCCATGCCTACCTGCTGCGATATTGCCTTCCATGATTGTCAGAGACTCACCCTCTGAAACTGTGAGCCCAACAGACTCTTTCTTCCACAAGTTACCTTGTTCATGATGCTTAGAATAATAACTAAGGCAAAGCTAGAATTTAATATTTTCCATGGAAATTTGAATACAGCATTACTTCCTACCTTCCAGTAAAAGTCATCTAGCCAGCCTCAATTCCAAGTTGTTGCTGATTGTTGTAAATTTATTTAGTTAAGAACCGCTTGTTTTTTCCTTATTGGGCTTGCAATGGTCAGAGGGCGCTTCATGTGCTGCAAAATAGCTTGTTTATTAATTAAAAAAAAACAAATATGAGTGAGTACATCCCATGTTCCTCTTTTTGGGTCTGGCTTAGCTCACTCAGGATAGTGTTTTCTATTTCCATCCATTTGCCTGCAAACTTCAAGAAGTCCTTGTTTTTTACTGCTGAGTAGTACTCTAATATGTATATATTCCATACTTTCTTCATCCATTCTTCAATTGAAGGGCATCTAGGTTGTTTCCAGGTTCTGGCTATTACAAACAGTGCTGCTATGAACATAGTAGAGCATATACTTTTGTTGTACGATAAGGCCTCTCTTGGGTATATTCCCAAAAGTGGTATTGCTGGGTCCATGGGTAGGTTGATCCCGAATTTCCTGAGAAACCTCCACACTGCTTTCCAGAGTGGTTGCACAAGTTTGCATTCCCACCAGCAATGGATGAGTGTACCCCTTTCTCCACAACCTCTCCAGCAAAGGCTATCATTGGTGTTTTTTATTTTCGCCATTCTGACAGGTGTAAGATGGTATCTTAAAGTTGTCTTGATTTGCATTTCCCTGATTGCTAGGAAGTTGAGCATGACCTTAGGTGTAAATAAAAAAAAAAAATAAAAGGAGAAACAATAAACCATACATAATTAAAAAAAAGTAGCTTGTTTATGAAACAAGCAAGTGCCATCATTTTTTAAGGCTTATAAACTAGTTTTTACCACCAGAAGTCAGTGATCTGGACCTGTAAGAAAGAAAGCTCTTAAGAGGTTTCATCTGTGAGTTATCTTCACTTATTTATTGTATATAACCTGCCTCCGTAAGCTGCTACTTCTCTGGTTGTCATTTATAGTTCACTTTCTATAGATAATCACACCATTCAAAACATAACTAATTTGATAGAGATGTTGAGGAAAATTTAAGTTCAGTTAAAATTTATCTGACAGAGAGTAAGGGAATTAAAACTAGAAGCTGAGAGATGAGTCTTGCACATTACCAATAAAAATGTTAAAGCATTAGATCTTATTGGATCTGTGGTGTGTCTTCATTTGTATTTGTATATGCTGCTCAGGGCAGTTTTTATCATATAGATGGTTGTTTCAACTATATTTAAAAGACTGTTTGTGTTGCTTTGTTGCTTTTATTGAAAAGCAAATGGCAGTTTAAATGTGTAGGTCTACTTTGGGGATTTATATTTTGCTTCATTTACCTATTTTTCCATATATATGATGAGGGTATGCTATGTAGATTACTATAGCGTCACAGTACATTTTAAAAGCTGCCAATGCAAGTTTCCATCATCAGCATTTTTCAAGATTACTTTAGCTATAATTTGTTCCTTGAATTGTATTCACATAAATTTTGTAATAAGCTTCGTACTTTTCAAAAGTGTCTGTTTGATGTTGTATTGAGGTGTGGTTATACTGATAGGCCAGTTTGGGAGGCAATGACATCTTTATGCTCTCTAGTTATCCAGTAGACTAACACACTGTCTCTCTAAATTTATAAAGCTTTATTCCTCCCTGCAGTGTTTTGTAGTTTTTAATATATGTTTTTTTCCTGTTGCTAAATGCAATACTAAATATTTTGTTTTGATATGAGTGTGTAAGAAATTATATTTTATTTCCATTTTGCTGTTGATATATAACAATATAAGTGAATTTTTTCAAATTCAGTTTTCTTTCCTATGACCCGATTGAACTAAATTTTGTGTTAGTTCAAATAGTTCATTTGCAGATTTCTTAAGAGTTTCTGTGTAAGCAGCCATACTATGAATGCTGAAATATGTTTACACTCCTTTCTAAAAAGTCATATGGCTTCTTATTATCTTGATCTATTTCACAAAATTGAACTTTTGCTGGATAATTTAATGCACATACTGATGGTTATATTTCCTTGGTTTCAAATATTAGAGAAGAATATTCAATATTTTACAATTATGTATGATATTTGCAATAATATTTTCATAG